CCCACCTCATGTTACCTCCAGGGATGCCGGAGAGACGCGGTCGCACTCCTCCCGGGACCGCAGGCTGTGCCACTGCTCCACGGCTGTCCGGTGCGCGTTGAGCATCCGGCGCCAGTGGTTGGACTCAGGGGCGCCCGTCGAGTACTGTCCGATCACGATCCTCCCAATGAAGTCATTGCTGCTCTTCACGTTGTGCCCGTACACTAGGGAGAGCAGAAACAGAGACTGGTCAAGGCAAAAGCATCGCTCACCCACCCAGACCTCTGCCCCTGGAAAGCCAAACATCCTGCCAGTGCCGCCTCACACAGCACGCCAGATGCCAGCGTTTTTGGCATATAACTCAGCACCTCAAAAATGTTAGAGGCCGAATCGGGAGTTTGGAAGGAATAAGATAAGCTGTACTACAGATTGAAATACAATTCAAATAAACAGGACACAAATCCACAGTTGTCATGGTATTTAGCAAGAATAGGTGAAGTAGAATCATAGAATGGTTTGCGCTGGAAGGGACCTTAAAGATCATCTAGTTCCAAACCCCCTGCCATGGGCAGGGACACCTTCCACTAGATCAGGTTGCTCAAAGCCCTGTCCAACCTGGCCTTGAAGTAGAATTACATCGTGTAAAGAAATGCCGAAGTTCTGCCTGGCCATAGTGAAATGATGAGAACAGCCAAGCAGCCCACAGCTGGGTAAATGAAGAAGGAGCATCTCAACCTGTCCCCTTCCAAATGCAAGTGTCATGAACTGTTCCAGTGCTAATCAACAGCGTTCCCGACTCAGAGGGAGGAATCACACATGCACAGGCTCAGCGGGATGTTTATACAGAAACAATTTTCCATAATTGTCGCTGCAGCTACTTGTTAAAAGTCCAGGAAAGCAACCGAGGGAGAGACATCAACCCAACACCCTGTCCTTTGGATTAGCCCAGTCTCCTGGAACAAAAGATCGCAGACAGCAGCAAACTCTAATGACGGGCCTGATCCCAGGAAAGGCTGCACGCTCCCGCCAGACAGGATCAAAAGCACTTGTGTTCTGCAAATTGAAGCCCTGCCTCGGCTCATTAGAAAGTTGAACAAAAAGTCTGTGCAAGCTGAAGCCAGGATATCCACCGGCACTGGCTGGAATATTAAGGATTAAAAAATCTCCTCAGGAAAGAGGGATTTTTAAGAACAAATGTCTGCAGGGGCTCCAAATCCACCCAGGCTTGTGCAGCAAGAGCAAGTTCAAAGGCGCAGCGCAGCCTGGCGTGGAGCCATGAGCCTGGCGTGGAGCCAAGCTCTGCCGCCACTGCCTTGCCAGCAGCACCAGCTCTCCAGGGCTGCTGGAAACCAGCCCTGGCAGCAAAGTCACGTTTGGGATCCCTCATGGCAGCACCCCCTGATGCAGAGCACACCCTTCCAGGCAGGCAGGACACCGAGCACTAAGCACTCGACCTCGCTTTTAGCCACTCATCTTTGTCAAGGCTGTGTATTCCTATTATAATATATCCCATGATTAATTAGTATTATTTTAACATGCTACTCAGTATCTCTACCGTCTCCATGCTCTGCAAAGGCTGGTTCCTAGCTACTGCACCAGTATGGGATCTTGCTCTGGGTGACTCAGGTGCCACCTGCCAGTGCAGTCCCAAAATAAAGCTGCACAAGGTTACATCTCGCTTTATACCTTCCGACAGCTCTGACAGACAGTTTATGGGCAGAGATGCTTTTCCACATCAAATTACTGGGGGATATTTTTGGTAACAGCAAACCTTCAAATGTCCCAATCATTTCTCCAAATAATTGCACTAAAAAAAAAAATTACACGGCAACTCAGAACATTGTAAGTCTATCTTCAAATTACAGTTAAAAATAATTGGGGGCACATCTTCCCCTTAGGAAGACCGCATCTCTCCTGCTTGTCGCCATCAGTTATCTACGAGTGATGCCATCAGCTCTCTGCGACATGCCGCTGAGGAAGTGCCCCTGTCAAGAGGCCAGGTTGATGTTATTTGGAAAGGCCACCTTTCGAGGATGTGGTGAAGAATTTTAAGCCATCCATCTCCAGCTAGTATGTAGCCTGCCAGAGTTATTAACTTGCATCACAAGTGGAGCTAGCATGGCTATGCTACATGTCCCGCTACGATTTACTATCCCGGAGAAAACAAATATTATGATAAAAATCACATAAAAGTACCCGCAAACCAAATGCCTCCCTAATTTTTTATACAGGATTTTTTTTTCCTTCTTTTTTTCAAGAATGAAAGAAGATGAAGCCTAATCCTGGGAGACAATACCAAGTAATTTAAACCAAGAAGTCTTAAAGGCCATCAATTCATCACAGGATAAATTAACAGTGGGGAAGTACCCCAGGCATAACAATTCTTCAAAAATAATCCATGTCAGGATTGTAAAATGAGTAGGTGTGCTAACTAAGGGGACCTGTTATTTTACTCTTGATCCAGGTATTTTGAATTCTTATAAAGCATCTTGCTAATTTCATCATGTTGGGTAATTAGCATGTTGATTCCTTTAGGGTATTAATGGGCTAATTATACAGGCGTTGTTGCTTCTATCGTTAACTAGTTTAGAGAGCACAGAGGTAGACTTATTGCTGAAGAACAGGGAAGACATTCTCCAAGGCCAAATGCTTATTCAACACACAGATGGTAAGAGGTGGCACTAGATTCAACCTCAGGCTTACGAACTCACAGTTTCACCACAGCAGCTTTCTCAAAAGATGACAGAACTTTGTGTGCCAAAAATTCAGCTTCGCTCATCAGTTCATGAGCCTTTAAAACTCAAGGACATGCCTTTCTCGGAGGCTAATTGCTTTATTCCTCTCTTAAAATGGCCAGTATTTGCTGAGCAAATTTGCTGATGGTTGAGGTGCCCGGAGCTGTTGTGTGGACTTTACCCAGGAGAAGGTGCTAAAGTTAGCGTTGTGAAAATCAGTCTTTTTCTTTGCTCACGTTCAGGAGCTCAATTTTCCCTGTTGCTGTCACCGGTTCTTCCAAGAAGGCTTGGAAAGGAAAACTGTAGGAGCCCGTAAGCCCAGGCGAGAAGCTGAAAGCAGAGGCTGGCTGTGTTGCTGGCACTTGCTGCACTGGGCTGGAGTCATTCTGCACGCGGGTCCCCGTCCTGGTGCAGGGAGGGGGAGCAGCTCTCCCCCATTCCTTCCCCCACTACAGCAATCCCTTCTCTTCTCAAACAGATGAGGAACCATTTCCTTGAACGCCAACAAGCATGCACTAGCCATTACGCTTATTACACCATTTACACTCACGTCTGACACTTCAGTCTGCTCCAAAGGCCAGCAGAAGTGGCTAACGTCACACTCTCGATACAGACCCCATACGTACCACTCATGTATTGACCAGGACTCCTGGGTGCTCAGACATGATCCCAAAACGACAACTTTTCAAGGCACAAGGCGAGCTGCAGACTGTGCCGGGGCTGACCCATGCCCTGGCTAGAAGGGGACCTGCCGATGCAGCAGGCATCCGCGGGGAGACCCGAGAGCCCCTTTGAGCAGGAAACTCCTGCAGAGCTGGGCAGGAGCCACCAGCCCGGGGATGGGCAGGCTCTGCCAGAGCCCCTCTGCTTTTTGCACACACACACATGCAGTGACCTGCATACCATGGCTATAGTCCCACCTACGGTGCAGCCAACTCCACACAAGCTCACGCCTTCAGCTGCGGCAGAAA